TGTCTTGAAGAGAACTGGTGACCCCAAATCCAAGCATGTTCCATGCTGGCGAAGCATGGTTGCGCAATCATGTCTGTTACTTGGTTTGGACACAAACATGGTGTCTACGAGTGTGTAGAAAACAGTAGAAAAATGACACATTGTAACTCCTTATTTGCGTTGATATTTGGAAGTTGGAGATTTCCTAAGCTTGGGACAAGCGCAAACGAACATTGAGTACTACCCAACTCAATCAAATCTTGAGATGCCCATGCCGAGCTACCGCATCAATTGGTGAAAAATTGGACAACATGGGAATGTCTCCACCCACCGACCACCCTTTCCTGATGAAATCCATCACTTGACTTGAGGCAAGTCCCACTTGGAGATTGTTCCTCCAATGCCCAGGCCTGGATGCAAGTAGCATGGAGCAAGCAAGCCTCGTTGCCCGAGTGGTAGGCAACGGCCGGGCATTGCGGCAAAGGACAGCAAATACTGGGTACAATACACTGGGTTTCTGTAGTTTGCCAAATCCTCTACTGCCATGCGTATTGATGGACAAGTTCTCTTGCAGTCTCCCGTGGCAATGCACGAACAAGTGTGGCTCGTGTCCTGGAAATGCCACTGTCTATAGTTTCACGAGAAGATTTCTCCATCAACTGGACCACATATATCCGGTACATAGGGGGGTGATATCACTTAAAAGTAAGAAGGGTTAAGTAGGATACCTCTATACATATCCTTTTGTATACTGCATGATTGCAATGGAATATATAGGGAAACCGGTAAACCTATACCAGGCCGATGGCTTCGAACCAAGAAGTCGACTGGAAGACCTCGGCTCAACCTTCCCAGCCTGTGAGGGTCACAAGGAGAGCGAAAGCAGCGAGACGTCGTCGGTGAGAGGAGCCATGATACATTGGCTGAAAAATGTATGTTTTGTTGTAAGACTATATGTATTATATACAGTGTATACATTTTAGATAAACACCCTATAGGATGCAAACCTTCAACCATTTGGTTTGATGCTATTCTAATGGTCCTTACCGAAAAACATGTTACTCGAAATTTTACTCTATAAAACCAGGTCACCCATTCGTTAAATTCGTCTTGGAAGGCCAGGGTAGCATTAATATGTTAACTGTTAAATGGATTCTGGTGGAAAATGGATTCTGGAGCTCGACCCCCCTTTGTCCACCTCACAGCCTCACATGAAAAGGATTTCTGGAGCTCGATCACCCTATTCCTTTTCCCGCTTATGTACAGCAGCATCTACTGAGAGGACGCTGTGAGTTTCTCAGGCTCTTGTCCTTCTTTGAGGCGCAGTCTCCATACCCCATGACTAGTTCCATAAAATTGTGATCTTTGTCCTTTACAAATTGACTTTTCCAGTCCTCTTTTCATAAACAAAATCTTTTCCAAAAAACACGAAACGCGCCCGCACCGAAGGTGCCGAGGCGGTGTGGAGGCTCGCATCAACAGCAATCGCAAGAAATCCGCTAGATTAAATTCAAAGTTTTAGCTTAGGGGGAGCCCTCATCGGAGTTACGAAATGCTATGCTTTGCAGTGCTTTTTGAAATTTGATAAGAGTTGGACCAAGCATTGGCGATGCCGGGTATGCCGGCCGGTAGAGATCGCGTTATCGACATCGCGGACGCACGTGCACCGGGGACACTGCACTATTGACATCGTGAGACACGCCAAGACAGACAGACAGACAGACAGACAGACAGCCAGGCAGGCAGGCAGGCAGGCAGCCAGGCAGACAGACAGAGACAGACAGACAGACCGACCGAGACCGACAAACCGAAACGGTCAGACCGAGACAGACAGACCGAGATAGACAGACCGACAGACCGAGACAGACCAACCAAGACAGACAGACCGAGACAGACAATTGACATCGTGCGCGCGTTCGTCCGTATGTCCTGCCCGACCGAGAGGTTAACATTTCCTCCCGGCTCTGAGAGCACAAGCTGCTAGTTCCCGGCTCCGCGGCCGAGCCGGTAGGGTGCTAATGACGCATTTCCCATGTATGTCTGGATGTGTGTCTGCATGTATGTATGTCTGCATGCATGGATGGATGTCTATGTCCGTATGTGTGTGTATATGTATTCCCTTTACTCTGCGCGGGCGGCTTCGACCGCGAAGCGGTGTGAATAATACGAAACACACAAAACCAGCAGACTTTCTGTGGAAATGCATTATATGAGGGTCGGTCTGTCAAATGTAAACATTTTATACACATGGGGGATTTGTAACCTAGAGACAGCTGGATGTCAGTTCACCATTTTATAAACTAGCAACATTGTCAGAGAATGAAACCATTGTGAAGATGGAAACTCATTTTGTAAAACACACAGGTCTGTTGTTTGTTAATGTTTGTTACATGGTCCATGGTCGAGTCTAGTTGATCGTTATCCATGGCTGTTGCTGATCCTTGGTTGTGTTGGTTTACTGTATTTGTTTGGACATGTTTGGACTTTGAGTTGCGTCATGATGTCATCCAGGTTTCTTTGTTCAGTGATTCATGGCCCTGAGTGGAGGGCGTGGACAAATACAATGGGTATTGGCAAGGGGAATGGTCTATAAAATGAGTATACGCTGGGCCTTGTCCTTTCCATGACTTTTGCTTCATGCAATAGATATCCATAGATCATGTAGCTTTACAGTAGTGTTCGGCCAGTGTTTGGACATACATGTTGACAAGCTCTTTAGAACATTGCTAGCTAAAAAAGAATGGCTAGAGTTCTTTTATTTTTTGGAAAGTCCTAACTTTAATCTAAGAGACTTAAAGTGCTTATAACACAAGATTGTTGCTGCGGAAGGAACATTGTCTATGCAGAAAGGACATTGTTGATGCGGCTTGTGTGCATGCCTTTGAAGACCTTCTTGGAAACAGTCAACTCATATGTCACTGAATCAATTGGCGCGATTGGGCTACAGGAAGTCGGACCATCATCCTGAGCTTGCTCTTCACTTGTCACTCCCACTGCTGGATCTGCATGGGACCTAGATCCGCCTCAGATTGTTTGGGAGACCGGGCCTGTGTCTATTGACATACAGTTACAACTTACCATGCGGTCCAAACATGTCTTCGCACAGTCGCACCTCCAAACAAGTCTTCATCTCTTCGCGCAACAAGCCCGGGCCACCAAAGGTGAATGCTGAAGCGCACCAAAAGCTTTAGGGTCCAGGGTGGCGCGCTGAGGCAGCACCTTTCTGCCTCCTCCTGCTCCTCAAAGTCGTCATAGTGAATGAAGGTACGGCGCACATAAGTGACACCAGAAAATTGGAAAGTTCGGGAGTAGGTAGTAGGTCTCCTGAGGATGGGACGGGTGGTAGACCAATCGTCACGCCGCCATCAAAAAGTTGCTTGGCGGACGTGCGACCTCATAATTTGTCCGCTATCTGCGCCAACATCAAGAGAATGAATAGTCATAGTCGAGGTTTGGAAAATGTCCTGAGCATGTTGGTGTTGGAATTCTGTTGGACAGTTGGAGGAGGCTCTCCGATTCCAAACCTTGGTGACTTCGTCTAATGTCCATGTAATAGACATTGTTTTTCACCCAGTTTTCATATTACTATTGTTAGATCTCTTTGTACATACTGTACATCTTCTTGATATTCCTTGTCACCTACCTTTTATCAACTTACAGTGCTTTGGAACTTTTCAATAACAAGTTTTAAAATATCTACTGTTTTGGCAATTCTTTGTTGATTGATCGTTATAACAAACAACTACTGTATCACCAGCTGCCCTATGTTTTTTAAGCCAAACTTGTTTGCCACATCTTGAAAACCCGTTCATATCCTTCATATATAGTTTCATGTTCATTCTAGCTTTCTGCTCTGTTTTTGTTGAATGTATTTGTTTCATGTGTTTAAACCCTTCTTCTCTTCTGATCTTATTAAAATTTGGTGTATTTCTAGTGTTGTTTTGCACTTGCAAGACTGCTGTATCCACTTTTGTTTCACCTGAAAGACTTGCAGAGACTTCTTGTCTTTATAGTCACTTGAGAGACTGTCACTTGAGAGTCGATTCTCATTTGAGGTTCTTTGTGCTACATTTACAGGCTCTAAAGTGTTTGAAAGAATGATTGGCAAAAGAAGCTTCAACCAGTAAATTTACATTGGGTGTTGTTTCAATACAACAACCATCAACAACCTTTAACCTTAGGATATTCGTATGAATAACCTAGCCTTTAACCTAACCTAGCCCAAGCTTAGGAGACTACGCCTCAAAGAAGGACATCTGAGAAGATCACACCATCCTCTCAATAGACGCTGCTGACGCTGCTGCATAAGCGGGAAAAAGGAAAAGGGTGATCGAGCTCCAGAAATCCTTTTTATGTGATGTGGAAAAAGGGTCGAGCTCCAGAATCCTTTTTCCACCAGAATCCTTCTAACAAGATCCTTTCATTATTTATATATATATATGTGTGTGTGTGTTCATACTAGAGCTCCCCAAACAAAAAGAAATGATATGACAAGTCCAATAGCTGCTGGGGATTCATCTGTCATTCTATGTCATTCTTGGTCGGGTGAAACTCGATTGAAGAGAAGTGTGTTATGTAATTTAGAAAGGATTGCGTGTAAATGGCTGTGGAAATCACCTAACTGGTTCGTGATGCACTCCGTGGATCACCCCCAGACTCGTCTTGTGTCCCTTCCATATGCACTGACACTGTAGCCAACAAACAAAATCCCTTATGAAAACTAAAAACATATGAAACCAAAGTGCTCACGGCCATGCACACACACAGGTAGACTCAAATTCACGCTGCTATCACGCACTCTGTGCCAGTCCTAAAAGGAACAAGCGATATTCCATGCAATTGACCACCCAGCCCGCCCTTGCAAGTTCCGACACATGCTGACACATGCTGACATATCAGGGTCACGAAACCAAAGCATTGATGGGCAAATGCACTCATTGGCTCAACTAACTACTATAAACGATCTCCATATAAACCACCAAACGTATCCAAACGCCTTTGAATGTTTGGTTATTCGCCACTTTTGGACCCAAAAGTCATGGGATCATAGCCATATAGGGCCTTTCCTCCCTCAAAAGGGCACAGTTCACCGTTGGCAGCGTCTTCCGCAAGAGCTGCGTCTTCTCTGAGATGCACGTGGCATCAGATACCTCGGTGTTCCCACGAGTCGACGTCTTGGGCCACAGGGAACTTGCTCAACATGCGTTCGCAACAGGGAACCGCGGGAAGAAGGTTCATCGGTGGGATCGACTGAACATGGTAAAGAGCGCGCATTTGGCCGGAAAATGAGCGCCCCTTTTTCGTGGCCCCTTTTTCGTATGACCAGAGCCTCATGTCTCGGTGGCCCCTTTTACGTGAATTGGTGCAACCTCCTCCCCGGCCCAAATCCGAAGCCTCCAAAAGCAAGGACGCTACTAGGGGCTCCTGGCCTCGCTACTAGGAGCAAGGACGCTACTAGGAACATGTGGCCTTTCCACCTTATACGCAGGCTGCGCTCTCAACTCTGAGTTCTGGACCAGCTCTTTTAAGGTCAGGCCTTTCGTCGGACCGAGTCGAAGTGTCTGATGTTAAAAAATAGAACATGGCTCCCATTTGGAGATGTTAGTCTGGCAGCCTGGCAAATCTCTAATTAATCAGTCCGAACCCTCTGCGCAAGCAAATCTCCCACTCCCCTGCAAGGGCAGGCAGGCTCTTGCTGTGCTCCCACTTCCTGTCCCGCGACTTTCCCACCCAAATGGCCCAAACACGATCGTCGCCACCCTGATCGAGCGTGCCTGCGTGCAAGGAGACCGCCACCGCCGCTGTCAAGCTCAAATGCTGGGCACGAGAGATGGCAGAATCAGAGGGCAAGAGAGATGCTCCGGCCACAAGAGCTGGCTGGCTCCTTGCTTTTTGGTTAGACATGGCTGTCGGCCATGTCCCTAACTATAGAATCTAGTATATAACTATGAGGTCATTTCCTGTATTACCCCGCATAACAGTTCGTGATCAACAAATCGGTACAGCCAGCCCAAATAGGTCCAAGGGAATAGGGAGGCTTCATTCCTCCTGAAGGTCCAGCCTGGAAAATCGATCAGAAATCATGTTGTCCAATGTTGCCCAAAGAAACCAGCTTTGGACACGACCCGCACGCATTGATGCTGATTGTCTGAGCCCAGGAAAACCATCGCATCACGCCGCCTCAAAAAAAAAAAACACAACTGCCGCGGTAGGGCCACCACCACACGGTGTGAACTTGAAAACCTAAAACATACCGAGGAAAATCCCAGGAGATTTACCAAGAATCCTCCCAATCAGTAATATATGAACCAAGTCCCCGAAATGGAAATGCTTGACCATGAAGGTAACAAGGGGGCGTGATTCATCAACAAGCAACATTTGACATGGAAGTGCATGATGTGGCAACCCTTTGGGTCTCCTGTTCCTCCAGACTTCTGACTTCAGCCGTTCTTCCAATCCCAGGACTTGAGACCGATTCTAAACACCGCCAACTCACCGCCGCCTCTTCGGTTTCTTGCAGGCAGTCAACAGCCGTCAAGAATCCTCGACTGATCGATGCCCAGAGATACCCGTCTACGGTCTGCACAATTTCAAGTTCGGAACTTCACTGAGTTCGGCCACATAAACTCAGTAGCTACTCTGACAGGATACACCACTTGCCACTCCCAGAGAGTTGTAAGCCCAAGGAGCTCAACGAGCCATCTTGTCACAAGACTTTCACAAGCGAATCGTTTTGAAACATGTGCTGGACATCATGAAACAGCATGAGCTATCATGAAGCTATCTAATTCGAATCCATTTTGAGGACCTCCAACGGCAGGAAAACCATGGAAATTCCCCAATTCCACCCAAGCTGCTGCAGCAGTCGAAGCAATGCGCAAGCTTCTGGGTGAGGCCCTGAGTGGGGCCGCGCTGGGGCTGCCTTCCGCTTTTTCGCAAAGGAAGGTCCGCCCCATCGTCCGCTTCGTCCGGACCATGTCCAGTTGTTCGAGGTCTATGTAGCTCAGGTCTAGTTTTTCGTCCTGAGGCCCCAAAAGGCGGTATGCACACTGCAGTCATCAGCAACCCTACGCCTACGCAGTATGTCCAACACATCTATATACTTCCGAAAGCCCGTGTCAGATGACATGCTGGCACATGCTCACCTGGTTGCTCTGATCCACGGGCCCTGGCTTGACACCAAAGCAGCACGGCGTTCCATGATGCACCCCATGCCCCCTCTGTGATACGGGTATATAGTAACTCTGGGTTCTCGCACAGTCAAGAACCAGTTGGCCAGTCGGTCTTTCAGTTCGTCGTTGTTCTCCTCAGATGACTCAGATGTCATCACAATGGACTCTAGCATCTTATCGTGAGCAAGCCCTGCGCTCAACATCTTTGCAGACATGTTTAGTCGCAGACTTCACATGTTGCATGTTAACATAGGTTGAGTCTGTTAGTGTCTGAAACCATTTTTTTGCGATGCAGGGGCGTAGTGCTGTGAATTCCCGGCCGCACCCTCAGAGGATTCCAACGTCCAAGGGGCGACGTCCATGGACTTGAAGTCGGCGGCGGACCACGAAGGGAGCCGAATGAAACCTGGAAAAGGACAAACATGAAGAACTTAACATTGTAACAATGTTTGCTACCCTAAACCTGAAGTGAACAAACTTGCAATGAGCTTTAGGGTTACCCCACTGGCCCTACTTTTGAGCCGTAGGCAAATGTGCCAAAGGGAGTTGTCGACAAGGGACATTGAAGTACAAATCTAGAAACTGACACACAGGAGCAGTCTCAAGAGTGGTGTGTCATTAGTATATCGTCTCGCCAATAAATAGACCATTAAAGTAAAGAAACAGTGTTCGTTCTATATCTTTTCGTGATGTTTTACAAAATAGACTGATATTTGTGCCAATGAGAAGGGTATGTTGTTGATTGTTCTTTGTGTATATTATATATAAGTGCATATATATATATATACACATATTTTTTATACTATATTGATGTATATAATTTAAACTGTGCCGCTTGTGTGCCTGCAAAATCTTAGAGCCAATTTGTCAAACTCTGCAAAAATGCATGCAACATGAACGGAGATTTGAACACGAAAGCACATGATCTCACAACCCCCCTGCACTGCCTTTGCAAAGGTTCTGGGCGATGGGTAGTTTTTTGTAAACGTATTTTAAGTACTAAGTAATTTATTTGGGTGATCCATAGCGTACCGCAAGCACCAAGGATATAATTATGTGATATTATGTGTGTCTATCCTCAAACAACAACCCCACCGTCATCAATAGTCCATGAATTACTGGTCATGTCTTCCCTCGGACCACTCTCTCTCTCTCTCTCTGTCTCTCTCTGTCTCTCTGTCTCTGTCGATTTTCACCCAATTCACTTGTCACCAACCGCGGACCCCCTGCAAGCCTTCCTGAACCAAGTTCATGGCTTTCAGCTCACAAGCTTCTCCGACCTCATGCCACTTCGGGCGCTGCCCAAGAAGTCAAGCACGCCGAGAAGGAGCTGGTCATGGAGAGACTTGCGGCTTGAGACACAGAAGTCAATTCCAATCCATGGGAAGACCTTTAGAATGAGCCTGTTGGACCTGGTTGGACCCTGTAGAGGTCGATCGATCGACCGCAGTAAAGGGCACCTCAATGACCTCAGTAGAAGGGGAGGGCCAGGCCCAAGGCCTACCCGCTAGCAGTCTTCCAGTCAATTCCTTTCTCCTTGTGTTTGGTCTCTGACCTGGCAAATGTTCTGTATCGTGGCCGACTGCCGAAGTCCTGCCCATCCAAGTTCACAAGAACCAACCGAGTTGGTTTTTCCGCACTGACCGAGTTGCTCGTTCGCCCAATCCACTCTGACCGCACCTCCCCTGTTCTCTGTGGAACCTGTTTTCAGGTGTGGAACCTGTGGAACCTGGGCTCAAACAGTTGGCTCGTGGCCCCTTGCAAAGCCAAACCGTCCACTGATACATGAGATTGTGTGGGAATTGTGTGTGTGTGTGTGCCTTTCAGTCACATAGCAAAACCTACGACAGTACGTCCTTCCACAACAGACTCAACAGTCGCTGCCCCACCAAAGGAGGTCTGTATTTAATATCACGTAGTGAAACATGTTAAAAGCATTTGGCCCTTCATCAAGCAAACAGTATTTCCTTCGTCCACATGTCCATCTTCAATCAAACACAACTTGTCCTCGAAGTGTCCTTGGCGGATTGACTCCTGAGATTCATGTCGCTTGTCGCGTGCCTGGGCTCCACACCGCTTCAATGATGTCCTGTGTGCCGCAGCTGAATGGCACAAATCCACTTAGGTATACAATTGCCGCATGCCTGCTCTTGGTTTATTTAAGTTTCCTTGGGGACAGTTCTGCGTGGGGTCCCCTACTAATCGAAGGCAAAGGTATACATTTGCCTGCGCTTTGGTTTGAGAAAGTGTGGCTATCGGGTTTCTCACCATTCGTTTCGCAAAAAAGAACAAAAAACTGGAGGCGCTGGAGGAATGATAACTGATAACTCGACTGGCACCTGAGCCAAGACCGGTGGTCTCGGGTGTCCTAAAACCTCTGTTTCTTGCTTTGGGAAACTTTTCAGAGCCACCTGGCACCACCCGAGGCCGTCGGCCGGCCACCTTCGTCCGCCGCCGTTCACGCCCGCCTTCTTCAAGGCACTCCGCGCCTCCGCGAAGAGGTCCTCAAGCGAAGGCGCTGCGGCACCATTTCATTCGGGGGAAGTCGTGTGTGGTTTGTACTTGAGATATCTTGAGATGTTTGTCTTCGGAAGTGGCCACCAACATTAACAGATCAACCAACTTCCGGGTAGATTCACATCGTCTCTTTTTGGTGCGAGGTGCGCGAGGTGCCTTGCGAGACCGAGCCCTCGGACCCGAAGCTGGGACCCCCGGACCATGCTGGGTAGCTCAGCCTCAAAGGTCTGCGCCTTGGCGCCGAGGAAGGGCTGCGCCCGAGGAGGACGAGGAACGAAGTTGATGACCTAGTGGACATCTCACACCCGTTTGGGGTTCATCATGACCGCCGTTTGGATGTATTCCCCAACCTGAAGATAGCACCAGGCCAGGTGGTACAAATCACAATCCCCGCATTTTCCGAAGTGGATCCGGGTCCAGATCCGTGTGTCTTGAAACCTCCCTTGGATCCCACCCAAGACAAGCTCACATGCACAAAATGAAACCCCCACCAACGAGTATTTGGAGCTGTGGCGCAAGAATCGAGCAAAAAAGGCAGTTCTTGGAGGGCCAAGCAGCTGGAAACTCCGAACATTTGGAATCGAAGCTGACTGCTTGGCCAATGCCCATGCGATCCACTTAATTGGTCGTCTCAACTTTCGGGAGTGGCCGCAGACTTCTATCTGCTGCGCTGCTGGTTGGATCAGTTGGTGAATGGCCTTCTCCACCAATTCATACCAGATTAATTATATTGATGTAATACGTAGATAGGATTAAAGAAGCGGCTAGAAAAAAGGCAAAAACAACTTGGGGAAGCCAAGGGAACTGGTGGAACCTTGTCGCAATGAGGCAAAAGGAGAGGTTGTCTCAACCAAAACTAAAACAAATTACTGTCGCTGCGGCTCAGAGTGAACTGAACGTATCACTCTGCCTCACAGGGCTCTCCGCCCCAAAACGCCCAGGCGTATAATATGATATATGATGTGCTGTTCACCACAAATACGCCCTGGCAAATATCCATCTATCATAGCGTTGAGGAGTCCAATTTGGAGTGTTTAGATGTGTTTAGTCTTAACCCACACCCCTCAGAATCAAGGACTCCTCAAGCCGGTGAAGCGTTCGGGCCCATTCAGGCCCCCTGCGCACCGCTCCGCATGCATGGTCTTACCAATTCACCGGATCCCAGTTCGAAGGGTCCCACTCCCGCGCGTCCCATTCCCGCGCCCGGCTGCAGTCCCGCCACCCATTCCAGTAGTAGGACATGAGCGCCTTCGGGGTTCCACGGGGTTGGGTCGAGGTGTCCAACGACGGGCGCGTTCTGACCAAAACGCACTGACCAATGGGGCTGCTGATGGCGCCCTCGGTGTCCATGGTGTGGGGGGGGGGGGGGAAAAATGGATCTGGTCAGAGTTGCGCCGACCAATGGTGAGTCCGTGTCAATATCTACTTGCTTGTTCTGAACACGTGTGGCATCATTCACGAATTGCCACACGGATAAAAATGAAAACAACATAACGATCAAACTTTGTCCCAGATTTCCACCCATACGCCCATACTCATACAATAGATTTCCTCCCATACTTGTCAAATGTCTCTTCTCGCCCTGGACGCTGGTGGTTTTGAGAAAGGATCAAAAAGCACCCCTAGTCCCCACCCACTATGCTAGTGCTAGTTGCGGCAATTGATCATGTACTGAATCAACTTGTCCATAAGCCTGCCCATCTCATCCTCTTTCCCTCCCTGTTGATGATTCCTGTTGATGATGAACTCCTGAACCACCAGGAAGCTTCCACCATGTCGTTGCGTTCGGCAACTTGCTTCTATGACTGCAATCCAACTACTGTCCCAAATTCTCAACTACTGTCCCTTCTTCCTGTCCCAAAACTCGTTAGACTTCAGACCAACAAAATCTCATGCTCCCCAATGCTTCGCCAACACGGCCATGGTTCCTCCCCCCGTGCCCGCCGTGGCCCCCGCTCGTCTGCCCTTTCGGACCCCAGACGCTGGGGACCCACCACGTAGGTCAAGGTCTCGGCCACATGTGTCACCTGTGGCAGCCAGATCGTATGAGGACGGCTGTGGAGACACCCACGGCTCGGCCCACGACCATTCGCGAGGAGGGTGAGATCGAAAAGTGAGGTGTTGGGTGATGGAAGAATGTGGATGAGAAGCAAGCTACGAACAACTGTAGCAGGTGTCGTACTGTGAACATATGTGATCCTCTAAAGTTGTTCACTGGCTCTCTGGCCGATTTTTCGCAGGGCGGGTCATAAGTTCCTCGGTTTTGAGAAGTACTTCAGGTCACAGAGAAGAAGGTCAACGGGCCATGGGTCAACAGCAAAGCGGCTGAACTAGTAACTAGTTTCATTGGTTGATATTTGGTTGATGATTTTTTCCGGTCGTTCCAACTACAGTAGTTCCAACTCAGCAAAATTGCCCAGCCGGGTTCGTTTTCACCCACCTTCTGAAACCTAGATCTTATGAGCTGACTTTTCACTGACTCCGGCATCGCTAAAAGATAAAGGTGAAGTGGAGAACAGGTAACATAATGAAACATAACTTTCAACCGGTTCTGGTTTACCGGCAACACCAATTCCCAAAAAGTTATCCACTTTTCCTGGGCAAGATCATGATACAATCATCTACGGGCAGTGGTCGTCTCAGTATCGGAGAGGCTGAGCGATCTCTGGCACCGGGGCGCTACTCACATTGTGGAACTAGGCTTGGAGACCAAAAAACACCCAAACCAGGACCCGAAAACGCATGTTCTTTGAATAACACAGTGTTACTTGTGACTTACTTGTGACTTACTGCTTGTGTCTGTTCACTTGAACAGACTTTCGGATGAGAAACCAGCTGTCCGACTGGACGAACCGGCCGACCGACTCGCCCGACCTGTGTGCTGGACAGGAGCACCGCCAGCGCCCACCTGCGAGGGGCGAACCGACGGACGGAACCGGCTTCAACATTGGACGATTAAACCACCCCAAAAGAAGGAAACGGCTTCCATTTGGAAACACTACATTATATATAATTAATATGATTTATCCATATTATTCAAAATCAATATCAATTCATGCATACTTCAATTGTGCCTCTCACCTTCTCCTGCAGCCATAAGTTTCAACAATGGGGAACGGAGCCAACTGGGCCACAAGTTTTGTTGCTGCAAAAAGTTGGAAAACGCACAGCAGTCTGGATGTTCAGATTGTCCTCCTTCATGAAGTCTATGATATAATGATACATAAATAGTTACTTATCAGTATATATATAATTGTTATATCGTATTGTGCTCATTATATGTATCCTTTACACAAACAAACAAAGGACATGTAACATGTACATCCTTCCGTGCAACTCCACGTCACAACGCTGACATACGCCGGAGCTTTCTTTTTCCTCGCGCGCTTGTGCGGCGGGAGGCTCCTAGGCCACCAGCCCTCGCATCCGGCGACTGGAGGGTGGGAATTCCGCCCCGTCGCTTCGAGGCCATGGTTTGAATGTGGGATGTCTTAGCCTGGCAAGCCTGGAGTCTACAATGGGTACTTCTGTGTAAAATTGGACATCTTGTTGGGACCTCTGAACATCATTGAACATCGACCTCAAGTATATCAGCAGTCAGAGGGTCTGAACCCAGAAACCCAATATTCGATAATATTTGTTGTTTTACATTCGTTGAACATTTCGTCTGACTTTGCAATTTGGGGAGTTTTGGGGTGTCTGTGGACCACTTTCTTTGGAAGCGGGGAGTACAAACACCCCGCTTGCGGATTCCTCAGCAGGTCACCTCGCAGGCGCCGGCTCCTGAGCGCGGGCACCGTGAAAATTGGGTCTGAGTGTTCGAGGACATGTGGACGGCTGAAAAGAAGATTTATACTACAGCAGCGAAAGGATTGGATGATGAAACCACTGGGTGGGTGGGGGGGTCTATTAACCACCAAACCACTTGGTGGTGCTGGTGCAGGTATGTTGATGCTTGTTTAAGATGGCCCAGAAACCATGGAAACCATGAAAACGCACTCGCCTGGCTGACTTGTCTTCAGAGGTCCGGTGGATTCAGCTTGGTAGCACCATTCAGGTCGCATGTCACAACTATGACGCAAACGATTGGATGACGTTGCGTCATGGCATGAATTAGGATGACCGTTCTGTATGTTTTGACTTGGGCTTCCCGTGTCGTGTGAGTCCTGTGATCTGATCGAGGTTGATGCGACCGCGCGGTCGTGTGCGACGTCGGACGACCCGCGCGGCAAGCGCAAGAAGAGGAGGGCACGAGTGCGAACATGTGGCCTTACTAAGGCAAACAAGAGATGTTAAGGAGAACAACGTGAAGGAGGGGGAGAACATGTCACTGACATAAAACTTATATACACCCTGCTGTCGGACAGCATCTGACAGCTATGGACAACCACCCTTCAACTCCTTGAGACTCACCCGCCTTTGACCTCCAGAATCTGCCCGCCTTTGTCATCGACATAGATGGAGAAGGTACACAGCTTCTCCTTCTCGACCTCCACAAGCTGTGCTTCCCAACCAAATGACTGGGTCTCCGCGGGCGAACACTGAACACCAGATGAATGGACTCGACCGTAGACCCTGCGGATGAAGATCGATCTTCATCCAGGGAGGTGCAGTTCTTGTTTGGCGCTGGGGTCCAGTCTGACGTGGTAGAAACAATAAGCTACTAGGAACAAGTGCATCGCTACTAGTAACAAGTGCCTTACTAGTAGTAACAAGGACGCTAGTAGTAGCAAGTTTTGTTCAGGTATGTCTGAAGATGTCCGCTACGAACAGGGTTCCTGTCCTTACTAAGGAGCGATCGGACGCTACTAGGGGCTCACACTCCACACGCCCCAGTCAGATCACACTCACTTTACCACTCAGCCCTGGAGCTCGGACAAACGCTTAAGCAAGGCCCATCACGGTACGAGGCCGTCACAACGGTACGTCCTCTCCAACATCGTTTTGGTCCAACAAGCATCTAACATCAGCTATAACAGCAACCAATGCCTGCAATAAGAGTCTTGCAACCAAACGTTACATAACGCTACAAGTATCTTAGGCATGCAAGCCAGGATTAACAAATACAAATTAAATGTTGTTTCTATCCCAAGCAATTCAACTGCCTAATATAAGACTCGTCTACCTGAGGCAATGCAACCTAGCAGCACATGGGTCGTCTGTGCCGACCTCTGTGCCGAACTACCCCAAGGTGCAAATTCCAGCTGTTCCAAACGCGCCAGGCTGCCTACAAAAGACTTCCTGTCCACAATCACAATCACTGTCTGGTAATTATATGAATTGATATCCCTACATTGACCCCCCAAACCACTACAACTGGCACATCTGACAGTCCCAAACAGGTCGCGTCGAAAAGCACGCGTCCGCCAGCGGCACTGGGTGACCACCCGACTCTCCACCGGCCCCGACACCGCCCGGCTCAGCGAGGAGCAGCTTTGGTTTCTATCGGATGACCCAATGAACTCAAAGGAATGTGAGTTCGGATTGTCCATCCTACTTGGATAGCATGGAAGTGTTTTTGTTTAACAAATGTCTTTACAAAATCCATTTACTTTACTGTAAGAAGAAACCTGACTATTTGATTCATGAGTCATCCCTCTCCCCTCCCTGTCCTGCCATCATGAGTTCTTCCCTGTCTCAACGGTGCGTGCACTGGCATCACACCTCGGAGCCTTCAGTGATGTCCGGCTTGCGGAAGTACAGCAAGTTCATGCCCTTGGCCACGGGAATCTTTTTGGCGGATGCAAGTGTTCCGGCGTTCCAGGTTGTAGCACGGTTGGCCGGTTCTCCATGGAAATCCGAAGTATAGATTTTTCTTTGCACGCCTTTTTGGGACTGCATGAGTTTATGCGAACATCTGTCGCAGATCTCTCTGTCGCATGTAGACGCAGCGGGCCTTCAGCCGGCTGGTCAGAACCGGGAGGCCGTCCGAGAGCCGAGTGCGTGCGTGGCAGCGCGAGCACTCCAAGGTGTGGCCAGTGCGCACCATAGTGTGCGATCCGTGGCCTTCCCATAGGCTAGGCTCCAGTGGTCCATGGTAGCAAGGTTCACCCACAAACCTGCTGAAAGCTTCCTCGTTTGTCCTGGCTAAAATGTAGCACCGACAGACTGAACACCGCAAGTAGGCACGGTCCAACTGCAAATGATGGACTCCTTGTTGTGGGCCTTGCTGGGCAGCTATCAGGGCATGGATCATCTCCATCCTTGTCTGCTTCGGTGGGCTAGGGCGAACCTCCTGTTGACATGGTTTGTCTGAGGCTTCCTTCAATTCGCTCAGGAGACTCTTGCTATGGTAGCGCAAACGGCAATCTCGGCATTGGATGCCACTTCTGAAGACCTCCCATTGATGACCCATGTGGGAGGGCTTGTTCAAGAGATCTTGCAGGATCTCCTTCTTCTGCTGGACAAGCGGGATCTTTTGTTGAATGTCGGTCTCCTTCCGGTGCAGGAAATGCTCTTTGCACCGGAGCAAAATGCTCATTCTCTCCCCAGCACTGAGAAGGATGGAATGGGCATCATCATCGATGTGTGATTGCAAATCAAGGATCTCCTTTGGTTCAAAGAGCTTGCTCGTGCACTCAGCCACCTTCTGGGTGTCTTTCTGAGTGACTCGTCTCATATCATTCTGCTCCAGTTCAGCTCGGGAGAAAAGGAGAGGCCAAACATGATCGAAATCTTCAAATTCCAGACCAGTAAAAAGATCAGGAAAAGTTTCAAAGGCAACATGCGGCTTCCAGTTCTTCCAAGCGCCTGCATCATAGAGTGCCACTGGTGTCTTCTCCAAGACATGCAGAGCAAGCTGCTTCATGGCATAGAAAATGGCCCTCTGTTTGGTGGCAGGACCAGGACAAATGCCAGTGATGGAACCGACTTGCTGCTTGTTGGTGGTCAAGTGCACGCAAATTGCGAAGGCAAAACGCTTGTGTCTTTTGTCACCACAAGTGGGTGCAACAGCGATGGAGCATATGTGTCCCTTCTGCAACCTGAGGTGTCCCAGATCTTGCCAGACCCCCGTGCCTTCCAGGGTGGAGGAACCTTCTTCCGGCTCATAGAAAATGCGCTGGACTAAGCCTCTCTGCCAAAGCTCGGGATCTGTGCCGACCTCCAAGCGACTGGTCCATTCCTTGGAAAGTGGCTTTACCCTTCCTTGCCAAAAGGAGCACTGCCACAGAAGATGGGTGAAGGTCAGCTCAACTCCGCACAAAGGACAGTGCCCGGTGAGGCCATGGAAAGTGCCCTGATGAAAGGCTCTCAGCCCTGTGGCTATGGCCTCGCTGGTGGTTCTCTGGATGTGCTGACTGATCATCCAATCCAACGGCCTTTCGAGGTCATGGCACCCATCATACCTGGTCAAACGTAGGAGGCGCTGCCAACGAAATTCCTGAGTGAGCTTGTGGTGCAAAAGTGGCCACGGATCAGTCAAGCAGAGCACACAGTCCGGGATGCCCCCATATCCTGTCCGCTTCCATTTCTGACCATCAGAGATGTCGAAGTCGAGATCCATCATGTAAGCCTGAAGGGCCTGCAGAGGTCCAGAGACGACCTGCCACTTGTACTTGGCCTTGTGCAGGGCGCCCAGGGCGGTGTTCCAGCTTGTCCAGAACAAGTGTTGCTTGCTCTCTGGGAAACCATGGTAGACCTTCCATATGGTGTGCAAATGCTGGAGGATGATAGAATCTCCTGGGTCAGGCTGAGAGGGATGCATGTCAAAGACAATGTCCACCGACCCAGAGCGTTGAAGCCTGAGGCCCCTGGCAGCCAAAACTCTCAACTGATGCCTTCTTTGTGGAGCTAAACCATTGGCCTGAGCCCCCCAAGACATAACCGGGTGCACCGCTCCCTTGTGTAGCCTGTAACGGATGCCCTGGGCAATACGCAGTCGATGCATGATACCCACTCTGCCTTTGCCTTTGAGGAACCGCTTGCGGATCTGAGGCACCCGTCTACGTCGGCCAGCCGTAGAGTCCACCCCCAAATCTCGGAGAACATCGTAATGTTCCGGATCGCCCTCTTGCAGCAAGGCCTTCAGGGCTTTGGCTGACTCCTTGGAGCTGGTGAGGAAGCCCGTCTTGTCTGTGTTTAAAACCAGGCCAGTTT